CGCTGTGGGGCCAGCGCGGCGGGTCCCCGCCGTGGGGCCGGCTGGGGTCGTCTGCGGCTTGGAGGCAAGAGGCGGCGGAGCTGGGTGGAGGAGGGCGCGATCCCCGTGGGACTGAGTCTGGGGACTTTCCCCTTCTGTCCCAGGAATTCCTGCCGGACCACAGATCGCGAGCTCCGCTTGTCTTCAGGAGTTCATTCCTCGGGGGTCTCCATTCGGGTGGAGCAAGGGCACGGGAGACCCTCCAGAGGCAGGCTCTCTTGGAAGCGAGGATCGGCTCCTGGCACTTCCAGCCCAGCTGTGCTTCTAAGCCCCCTCGGGTGACCCCGCAAACTCCTCCCGAGGCTGATGTTTCTATCTGTTGAGTGGAGGTGACACTCAGACCTGCCCGCTGGAGAAGAGGGGCTTCTCCGGGCTCTTGGCGGGGAGGGATGAAAGGGTTAGGAAGTTTTCCTCCTCCTCTCCAGTTCCGACTTTGGGGGCCCAGCTCTAGGGAATGTGAATGGCAGACGTTCTGACGCTGCCCAGTCTTGGAAGATCCCAGGGGTCAAAAGTCGTTCTGGAGCGTCCCCCACCCTCTGCCACTGCTAGCTGTTGATTGTGAGCATCTAGCTGGGGATCCCTTGCTCTATTGCACCTAGAGGTCTGTTTGCTTCCAGCATTGTGAAATTCCCTGGTTTGTTCATAGAAGGTTTGGGCTAGGGAATCTGGCTTTCCTCTCCCTCTCCCTAGATGTGACCCAGGGACAACAGTGTTGAAGAGGAGGGATTTCCTTTTTTTGTTTGTTTTTGAAGTTGGAGTCTCCATCTCCCGGGCTGGAGTGCAGTGGCACGCTCACGGCCACCCCAGCGTCTACCTGCTGGGCTCCCGCGATCCTTCCATCTCAGCCTTCCAAGTAATCGGAACTACAGGCGCGGGCTACCATGCCTAAATTTCTTTTTTTTTTGAGTTGGAGTCTCACTCTGTCGCCCAGACTGAAGTGCAGTGGCCGCTCCCGGCCACCGCAGCCTTGACCTGCTGGGCTCCTGCGATCCTTCCACCTCAGCCTTCCAAGTAGCCGGAATTAGAGGCATGCGCTACCACACCCGGCTGATTTTTTGATTTATTGTAGAGATGAGGTCTCGCTGCCCAGGCGGTTCTCGAACCCACGGGCTCAGGCAATCCACTCACCTCAGCCTCCCAAAGGCGCGGGATTACAGGCTGAGCCACTGAGCCTGGCAGAAATCTGTTTTTAACAAGACCTCCAAGTGAATCTGATGCATACCAAAGTCTGAGAACCGCAGCTCTTTTTTTTTTTTTTTTTTTTAAGTTGGAGTCTCAGTCCGTCGCCCAGACTGGAGTG